TAAAAGAGTTGTGAACCCTGTAACAAACCATAACAAATCTTTACCTGAGGAAAAAAGTGCACACACCAATATTTTGGCATGCAATTTCAAGAGTTTGTTAACTTCCTAAGGACCTTGCTAGAAGTACAGAGAACCTACATTAAAAAAAAAAAAAAAAAAAAAGCCCTTCTTTTTTGGGAGGGGGGAAAACTTATATTCATTTTATTTTTTATTTTTGTAGTTGTCATTGTTGTTTGGCAGGCCTGGGCCAGATTTGAAGCCGCCAGCTTTGGAGTCTGTGGCTAGGACCCTAGCTGCTGAGCAATGGATGCCAAGCCTTTTTTTTTTCCGAGACAGTCTTACTTTGTCACCTTTGGTAGAGTGCCATGGCCATCAGCCTAGTCACAGCTACCTCAAATTCCTGGGCTTAAGCAATCCTCTTGCCTCAGCCTCCCAAGTAACTGGGACTACAAGTGCCCACCATAATGCCCAGCTAATTTTTCTATTTTTGGTAGATTTTAGTAGAGATAAGGTCTCATTCTTGCTCAGAATGGTCTAGAACTCCTGAGATCAAGTGATTTACCTACCTTGGCCTCCCAGAGTGCTAGGATTATAGGTATGAGCCACCATAAAAATACTTCCAATCCACAGATACAGAACCCATGGGTACAGAGGGACAACTGTTTGTACATATTTCTAAGGTATCTTTTTACAAATGTATTATAAATTCAGAATAACTATGACATACTGCTATTTAATGCTTTTACATGTGCATGATACCTTGTTTCTACAGAGAAAGGCCAGTAGAGTGCACCATTGTTCCTGTTTACCTCCTCCTCCAATAACAGGGGCTCGTTCATAACCAAGGACATTAACAAATCTTGCTGCTTGCCTTGGAGTATCCAGAAGCCGCCCAGCTCGAAGTGGTTTAACATAGGAACAAACTGGTCTATTTATCCCATTTTCGTCCTGGAGGAAAAAGGAAAATATTACTTGTAATGACAGACTAATCATCCCCAATTCTAACACCTTTTTTTAGAATATATTAACGCAGTATAAAGTAATTTCAGATCCAGCACTAGGCTGCCAAGTGCTATACATATAATTTCTCTTTTAATCTCCATAAATCTTTTTATTGAAAGAACACTTAAGTTACAACTGAAGCTACAGCTATTATGGAACAGAGCCAGGATTCAAATCCCAAGCTGTCTGACTCTAGAACCTGTGACAGTAAGAACTCCTCTAAGAAAAGGGTGGGCAGGAAGGTAGCTAAGGAAGGAGGCTCTAAGCTGAAGTATTCTTTCATGTTACCATACAGAATTTTTTTTTTTTTTTGAGACAAAATCTTACTATGTTGCCCTCTGAAGAATGCCATGACATCACAGCTCACAGCAACATCAAACTCTTGCGCTTAAGCAATTCTCTTGCCTCAGCCTCCCAAGTAGCTGGCACTACAGGTGCATGCCACAACGCCCAGCTATTTTTTGGTTGCAGCTGTCATTGTTTAGTGGGCCCGGGCCAGGCTCGAACCTGCCAGCCTCAGTGTATGTGGCTGGTGCCCTAACCACTGACCTACTAGCACCAAGCCATACCACACAGAATTTTATTTATTTATTTATTTATTTTTTTAAAGAGACAGAGTCTCACTATGTCACTCTCACTCTTGGTAGAGTGCCATGGTGTCACACTGCTTACAGCAACCTCCAATTTCTGGGCTTAGGTGATTCTCTTGCCTCAGCTTCCCGAGTAGCTGGGACTACAGGCGCCTGCCACAATGCCCAGTTATTATTTTTTTTTTTTTGGTTGTTGCAGTTTGGCCAGGGCCGGGTTCAAGCCTACCACCCTTGGTATATGGGGCTGGCGCCCTATTCACTGAGCCACAGGCATTGCCTAATACAGAATTTTAAAATATATATCCAGATAGAACAAATAACTTTTCTGATTGACTGATAAATCAACAAAGATCTGAGTTTATTTCTAGCTGTAGGACATCAAACTTAAGAAATCCAAAGGAAACAACAACTTGTTAACCAAGTCAATTTAAAGCACAATTTGAAAAACATTTTAGAAAAAGTTGTACATTGTAAATACAGGACATAATATAGTGCTTGTACTGAAAAGCTTTTGTGCATATCAAGGTCTCCAGTGGTTGTCTACCACTGTTTTACAGTTAATATTCCCAAAGGCTACACTTTCCTTAACTTCCTAGGTAATGACAGAGCAAAGTAAAAGGGCCACATACATATGTTTCATTACAGCAATATTTCTATTATTATCTAACTATATTCCCATAAGCTATTTGTGTGTCTTGACAATTTCAACACTTCAGCCTCTAAACCTGCACTGTCCAATAAGACAGCAACTAATGGCAGAGGCTGCTGAACAACAACGACAACTGCAACCAAAAAGATAGCCGGGCGTTGTGGCAGTACCTGTAGTCCCAGCTACTCGAGAGGCTGAGGCAAGAGATTTGCATAAGCCCAAGAGTTTGAGGTTGCTGTGAGCTGTGATGCCACGGCACTCTTGAGGGTGACATAGTGAGACTCTGTCTCAAAAAAAATAAAAAGCTACTAATCATGTATGGCTATTTAAATTTTAATCAAAATTAAATAAAATTTAAAATTTAGTTTTTAGTCACATTTTGAGTACTCAATACATGGCTGGTGGTCACCATATTGGGCAGCACAAACAGAGTATCTTCTTTCTTTCTTTATTTATTTTGAGACAGAGCCTCAAGCTGTCCCCCTGGGTAGAGTGCCATGGCATCACAGCTCACAACAACCTCCAACTCCTGGGCTCAAACGAGTCTCCTGCCTCCGCCTCCCAAGTAGCTGGGACCACAGGCGCCCGCCACAACACCTGGCTATTTTTTTGGTTGCAGCCATCATTGTTGTTTGGCAGGCCCAGGCTGGATTCGAACCCGCCACCTTAGGTGTATGTGGCTGGCGCCTTAGCCACTTGAGCCACAGGTGCCAAGCCAGAATATTTTCATCATTGCAGGAAAGTTCTTTCGGATAGTGCTACTGTAAAGTTATTTCCTCTAGGGTCTGGAAGCACTGGAAATTCTTTTTCACACTATGCATAATTTTTTGGTTTCTAACTACAACAACTACCTTAAATAACTTGTTCCTCAATTACATAGCTTGCCAAACACAGGAAGCAGCAGCAAGCAGCAGCTCGTGGGATCTACATAAGATAATCATTCTATGTACTCTACAGATACAGAAAGAGATGGCATAACCATCAAAAAAGTACCCATCAAAACTACAATCAATACGGACTCTGCCAGGATCAAGTTGCTATTTAGACTCTTTACTTCTCTATCTCTCATACTATTTACAAAATGAGGCAACACTTGGGCAACTGACCATCTTACACGATTACTATGAGCCTGAAGGACCTCACATGTGGTTCAAATCTTCCAAGCAATTCTAAGAGGCAGAGACTTAAGTGATTATTTCCTGAAAGAAAATCCCAGCTCCTTCATTTTCTTAGCAGCATATTTCAATTTCTTCCTCCTTTCCTTTGATCTGCCATTTCTTTGATCCACAACTTCACCCTCATCTAGTCCCAGAAACTCTGTGTCAATGAATAATTCTACCTCAGACTAGGCAGCCGGGTTCTGATATTGTTGCTACCTTGTACATGTCCAGAAAAGTCAGAAGCCATTTCCCTTATCCCCAGCACTATGCAACTAGGGTCTCTCATTCCCAAGCTCTCTATCTAGAAATGAATCATTTTTAGCCTGTCCCTTTCCAAATCTAGGGAAAGTAAGGAAAAGCCAAATCAACATATAGGATGTGAAAAACAAAAGTCAAAATAAAACTACACAATAATTACATAAAAGCATCTATATGAGGGGAAATATATAACAAATATTTCAATGGTTCCACTGAAGTTACAAAAATTATATGAATCTGACCATATATTTTATGTTGGTTTGTTAAAGAGAGGAAATGGGCTTAAGAGTCAGGAAAAACAGAGGCAAAGATATACAACTGAAATGCTACAGTTAAATATTACTGGCTTAGATATTCTGGTTATATAGAATGATTACACAGTAACAGTGCTTATTTCAAAAAAAAAAACAACAATAACAAAAATGTCAGAGCCCCAGTTCTGCATACAAGACCTGAATTTAAGGGTGGCACCGGCTCGGCGCCTATAGCTCAACTGGCTAAGGCGCCAGCCACGTACACCTAAGGTGGTGGGTTCGAATCCCTAGCCCGGACCCACCAAACAAC